TAAAAATTTAATGTAAAAAAAACTTTTTTTAAAAATTAAAATTGTTTAAAAAAATAAACTTTTTTAAAAAATAATTAAATTTAAAGAAAATATAAACTTTTCTAAAAAATAAAATTTTCTGAAAAATAATTAAACTTTTTTAAAAATATATATTTGAATAATGTTGTATCGGGAAGAACGAAATTGAATAGTGTTGTATTATGAAATAGAAAATTGAATACTGTTGTATTGGGAAAAAAAATTGAATATTAAAATTTAGAAAAAATAAATTTAACCAAGAAGTGTAATTTAACCAAAAAATTAAATTAATGAAAATATTAAAAATTTAAAAAAAAAAGTTCTATACAAGAGAAATTAAACCTAAAAAATGAAATTTTTAAGAAAAAAAATTTGAATTTTGGGAAAAATAAAATAAATTTCCAAAAAAATTAATAAAAAACTAAATTTGTTAAAAAATTTATATTTAAAAAAAATAAAAGTTAAAATTTTTTAAAATATTTAAAAAAAAATTAAATTCATAAAAAGAACTAAGGAATTTTTTTTAAAACAATTAAATTAAAAATAAACAATTTTTTTTAACTAACTGTGGGGCCTTTAGACACCAAAGCGTGCATGGTGCGTAAGGGTAGGACCCACCTTTTGATTTTTTTTAAATCGTAACTTTCATTAATTTTAAAAAGGTCCTTGTACACATCTAACGATGTTAACAGGGTAACGTACAACCATTTTGTGAATTTTTTTAATAATAAGGTTAAAAGTGTAATTTATTAATTTTAAGGGGTTATTTTGGTAACTTCTTTTACATATATAATGTGAAATCATGTATTAAAAATATAAAAATTAAATATCACTTATGGTATGTATGAAAAAGAAATTAGTAAATAAGAATACATTTATCATGGATGTTATCGTAGGCAAATGATTTTTTGATAAAGAGAGTTAAAAGTGAGAAGCATAAGATGCGATGTAGACACTTGATTATTTTTAATCTCAAACACACTTATGAATCACGTTGGATACGAGGATTAATCTAATACATCTCATCTCGGTGCACCTCATGCTAATATGCATCCAATGGTGAAGATCATTTCTTACACTTTTCACATTAACTATCATTTTCACTGGAATCTAACTCTACTATTCTATACACACCCTAAAATATACAAATTTATAGAGTTTACTTTTTTTAATCATAAGATAAGAGAGAGGGGAGAGAGATTCGATGCGCTTTTCATGATCGACAATTTGTCAAAAAAATGTATCATAAATTATTTTTATCGTTTAAGTTTAACCAATAAATTTTAACAGCATAATTTCATTAAATTATAAGTAATTGTTATTGATAATATTTTTTTGTTGAGTTATTATTATATTATTTATTCTTATTAGTCTTCAAAATTATAAAAACTTGTATGACAATTTTTTTTATGTAATGAGATTGGGGAAAAAATATCTAAAATAAATAGGTTCAAACTTAAAAATAGTTATCAGGTTTTATGGATCGTTTTAGGGGTTGTTTACTAAATTTTTTATTAAGTCTTGTATGGATAAATTTGTTTGTCTGGATAAATGAGTGTTGTTGTTTACTTTTTTTTATCTGAACTAACAGTCTGAATAACATAAATGGCCGATTTACCCTCCAATATTAATTATTTGAACATAAAAACAAAAAATCATAAAGAGGCCGAAGATGGGGTGTCTTATATGGGAAGGAGGCGGTGTTTTAAATAAGGAGTAGGGGTGTCATTTTTGTGGTTGAATGAGGACAATACACCATTACTATATGTGTGATTAAGCCATGTTTTGTACGAATAAGCCGTAAGTAAACAACCCAAATAAATTATGTAAATAAGTCAAAAAGACCAATAAATATAACTAAACCGTAAGTTAAGTTAATGTTTTAAAGACGAGGATTTAACATGTGCAAATAGATGGTATGAAAGCGCAAATAAATGATACCCTTATTATCAAATTTGTAATCTTTGAGGACATAATTTTGCTTATTATTTGTTTGGTTTTAATAATTAATAACAATTAAATAATATTGTTTTAATAAGAGTAAACCTCAATTTTGGACCTTGAGTTTAATGAAATATTTAAAAGTGGGATATGAAATCTAATAAGTTAAGATTTTATCCTCCAGGCATGAGTTTTGTTTTGAAAGTGGGACCTAAGCACCAATGTCGTTAAAAATCTCCGATAGAGTTAGGGGTAAAATCTTTCAATATGGTTCTCCTTTCTTTTTACACTTTTTTGTTTTCATTATTTTGTAAAACCCATCAAACCATAGGGACCAACTACGTAATTAACTCATATATATATATATATATATATATAGAGAGAGAGAGAGAGAGAGAGAGAGAGAGAGAGAAAAGACTTGAGATCATGTGAGACCAAAATTTTTTTGTGAGACCAAATTTTTTTTGTGAGACTCGTAAAACCAATTTCTTAACTCTTGGATTAGATTTATAATCTGAACATTAATAATCATAAAATTGCCACGAGACTTCTCAATAATCACAAAACTGTCACCGTATAATTTTAGACCATTAAATCATTAGCTTATAAAGTTGATCAATGAACATAAATTAGTCTTACGGGTCTCACGAAAAACCCTTGGTCTCACGTGAACCCAACCCTATATATATATATATAGAGAGAGAGAGAGAGAGAGAGAGAGAGAGAGAGAGAGGAGCGATCAAATGAAAACCACTCCAATTTGTAAAAACCGTAAAAACTACTTTCATTCGTCGATTTCATTGTTTGACAGTTTTTTATGAAATTGTTTCATATAATACTTTTTTTGATGAAATTGTTTCATATATGGTTATGAAATTGTTTCATATACTACTTAACGAAATTTTAATGAAACTGTTTCATATATTTCTCTAAAATTAAAATAATGAAGATGATAATATCCATGATTAACATCCTCCACAATAAAAATGATTAATCAACCTCTCATAATTACA